TGTGTGTGTCTATATATAATATGGGTGTATATATATATGGTGTTCATGCTTTTGTTACTGATTTATCTTGAGTGTATGGATTTAATGATTCCAACCCAAATGGGTTGTATCTTAGAGAGAGAAAGTATGTGAGTATAGAGAGAGAAAGAGGGGTGGGATGGATTAGAAATTGCCATGGCTTTTTATTGAAAACTACTCATTACTAATGAACCCTCACGTCATTGTTTGTTTGTGGGTGATGGTGGGGGGTGATAGTGGTGGCGGTTGTGGGTGATGGTGGGGGGTGATAGTGGGCAAGGTTTTTTTTTTTTTTTTTTTTTTTTTTTTTTTTTTTCATCAAAGTGTAATAATTTAAAAAAGGTTAAAATGATAATTTTATTATTTAAATTAGTCAATTCACAAGTCAAAGGGTAAAAATATCATTTTATTTTATGTCAGAGGTAAAGGGGGTGTCATTGTTAACTTAACCAAATCCGAGGAGTGTCATTATTCAAAAATTGATCAACTTTCATCTGACTGTAAATAAGATAAACTTTAGAGGATGTGAGTGTAATTAACCGATTATTTTATATTTTGTTTCAATGTTGAAGGTTGTACAAGGGCCAAAGTTTGTATGTGTAGCCTTGCCAATGAAAAAGAAAAGAAAAAGAGGCTGGACAAGGAACATTTATTAATATTGTTATTTTCATTTTTATTTTGGCACAAAGGAAGTATTTTTTTTTTTTTTGTTTTTTGAATATACAGAGTAATTATTTTAGAAATATAAATGTTTAGTGGAAGGGTATAATCAATAATGGGACGATGAAAGATTCTATTTTATGTTAAAAGACAATTAAGTGTATTAAATTTCAAAATATTAATATTCTATCCTAAATTATTTCAACTCAATTTAGCCAATTTACTAGCAGTAGTCTCATTGAGCCGACTTCCAAAAATGATAAAGATGCCCTTATTAGGAAAAAAAAAGGCATCTGATATCATCTCTCTCTAAATTCTTAGGCACTCAGAGCTTCCAGGCTAGTCAAACGGCCCTTTCTGTGAGGAGCAATCCAAACGCGCCTGCAACGGGCTGGCAATAATTGGGCGAGCCCGCATAGGTTCGCAATCTGGTTTGTGGAATACCTAATTTTATTATTATTATTATTATTATTATTTTTGTCTTTTTCTTTGTCAAAACGACATCGTTTTGGGCAAAGCTTTATTTTTTTTTTTATTTTTATTTTTTTTGTTTTTAAATTTCAGGCTTCAACGGTCAGGAATAGTGCCTTAAGGCACTGTTTGGCAGCTTGATTTTTTGGAAAAAAAACCAAAAAAATAGGTTATCTTGAACTCATTTTTTTAAAAATAAAATAAAATAAAATTCATTAAATAAAACAGAAATTGTTTAGGCACTGTTTGTCCAATAAAAAAAAATTTTGATTTGGGCAAAAAAAAAAAATTTTAGAACCTTTATTTTTTTCCCTTAAAAATTGATTTTTCTAAACTTTTTTTGCTTTAAGTTTTAAATTTCTGCCACAAATAGTGCATTTGACCGTTAAAGTACTGTTTAGTTGACACAAACAATGCCTTAACGACTATAATTTGAAAAAAAAAAAAAAAATTAAAAAATCATTTCTGTTCTATAACTACCTCAACTCCTACCATCATTTATCACATCTAACCCATCCTTATTATCTACTATTCAAGTTATTTCTTCTTCTATTTTCTCAATCTTAGCTATTATTTTCAAACTCATTTCGATTCTATAGATCATCAACATCCGTTTTATTACAACACCCAATTCAACTCATAACGATGAGTTTTTGCTATTTTCCAAAAACAATATCGATTTGCCTTCATAGCCAGAACTATATTCTAATTATTATGGAGGAGAATCTCAATTTCCTTCTCAACAACCATCCTAACCTTCTCATCAATATTGTGGTACTAATGTTCTACAATCAAGTAACTCACAACCTTTGACAAAAAAACCGATTATCCAAAATTCAAATTGGTCCAAGGTCAAAAATGAGGCTTTTTGCTGGTCATGGATGTCCATTACCTCTAATGCGATTATGGGGGCACACCAAAGTAAAAAGAAGTTATGGGAGTGAATCCTGGAATGTTATGTACAACATATTGGTGTTCCAACTTCCCGAAATCCAGGAGCTTTGATGAATCGTTGGTCCACCCTCCAAAAAAAAATCAGCAAATTTTTCGGGTGCATGATTAACATCGAAATGAATCGTCCCAGCGGCTTCAACGCTGATGATATGGTGAGTTATTTATTATTTAAATAAAACTCGTAAATATTTTAAACAGTCGGCTTTTAATTTTTTGTTAATTTTTTCGTGTAAATGATAGCAGCTAAAGACCTGTTTTATAGACAAACAGGTGGCGAATTTAAGTTGGAAAAAGTAGAAAAAGGAAAAAGAAAAAACTGCCAAAAAAGAATAGTGAATTTGACTTTGACATTAATGAGTTTGTTGGACACTCATTACCATCTACTCCGTCAAGTCAAGCAGCCACGACAGATGGAGCTTCAACTGAAGAATCACCACACATAGGGAAAAATGATTCACCCGGTGTGGAAGTATATCAACAACTACAACGACCAGCAGGAAAAAAAAAGGGCGAAGCAACACCGAACAAAAAATAATTCAGCATTTGAATTGCAAAATTCATTCGTTACCAATTTTAATGATCTCAAATGCCATTATGAGGGTCTTCAGCATTTGAATTGCAAAATTCATTCGTTACCAATTTTAATGCTCTTAAATGCCGTTATGAGGGTCGTCAGGAGAAAATGAAAGATGCCTAAGTGGCATGAGAGGTAACAAAAGCAGAAAAAGAAAAGACGAGGCAGCTAGAGATTCAAGAGAAACAAAAAGCTAAAGAGAAGGACATCATGTTAACATATCCAAATTTGGCACCAATAGAAGCGGGAAAAGCTTGGATTATTGCGCGATAAAATGAGATATTGAAATCTTTACATTCATGATCCGTCTCAAAGTTCCCATAGGATTTTTTTATCCTTGGTCTATTTATTTTCTTATTCTAATTTAGGATATTGTATTGTTTAAGTTATTTTTAATTATTTCTTTTTTTTTTTTAATCCATAATGGATAATGTATTATTTAAAGTTATAATATCAATCCTAACCTTTTTTAATAATTTGCAAAAATATTGTTTGATTGAAAAATATTGTCGTGAGAAACAATTTCATCATTTTAAATATTAAAAAACCATTACATAATAAAATTCTAGTATACGAAATATAGTCGTTACAAAATATAACCGTTAGGAATATAGCAGTTAGAAATATAGCCATTAGGAAAATATTTAAAAATATATTATTAATTTTTTTTTTTTTTTTTTTAGAGCGAAAATCCGAAGAGCCTGATGGAGTGCCTGTTTCTGGAGAGCGAAAGCTGCTGACGAACTCTTGAAATTGTGGATGTGGCTCTTAAAAAAGCTGAAATGACATTTTTAGAGAGTCAAAATTCAGAGAGACTGGTGTGGATACCCTCAGGGACCCAAATGCCTCCTTCAAGAGCCACTTTCTACGCCATTTTTAACATTACCACATTCCAAATATCTTTCTCACCTCCGATCATAGTGTATCGTCATCTCCACCTATCACACTTCACTGTAACACTAACCCTATCACATCCTTCGAATCAACTATGCTAATCATTCCAGAATTCCATTGCACGACAAACAACAGGCATAACAATCTCAAACTTCTCTCTAGTCAACTTTTTTCATTAGATTCAAGGCACAACAAACATTTATCCTCGTTTGTGCACATGATCATTCTAGTAGTGTGAAATCCGCTAGCGAGATTACATCACTATCTCCAGTACACTTGATCGTCCCACCAATAGTGTGGGAAATGCTGGCTTTTGTAACCATATCGCTGGACCACTTTAGTCATTGTTTGCCACCATCTCCAATTCTCCATCTGCACCACTTTCCAACTTCTATCCTCAGTCATTGTTTGCCAATATCTCATCTTCACCGCTTTCCAACTTCTATCCACCCAGGTCCAACATCACAACCACCACCTCCACCCTAAATCTGAGTCGACCTATCTCCAGATTCAAACAAGCCAACTCTTTTCACTCAAAACCACACATTACCACCTAGAATCACAACACACAAACCTACCACCATCAACCCAATCAATCCAAGAAGCTGGTGACCATAGTGATGTCCATTTATTAGCGAAAGAGAAAGCATATGGTGAGTATGACGACTAGTCAAAGACATCGCCAAAGGACTCGTGTAGACTTGGGTTTAAAGCGAAAAATATCATACCATGTGGTGGAGTAAGTCGTTACAAATGATATTAGAGACTAACTCAGCCGAAAGTGTAGCCAACAAGGACGTTGGGCCCCAAAAGGAGGGTGACTGTGGTAACCCAGTGGCAAAAAACTCTGGTTTGCCGTGGATGGGTGCAAAACGCTCTGGCAGACTAGCACACTGGACGAGTTAGAGGTACACAATCCCACATCATATACGATTTATACATTCCAATTGGTATGAAACTTTTTGGGATAACCTAAGAACAAAACCATACGAGCTCGGGTCCAAAGCGAACAATACCATACCATGTGCTGTAGTGAGTCGTTACAAATAGTATCAAAGTTTGATCCAATTGAAAGTGTACGAACGAGAACATTAGACACCAATAGAGGGTGATTGTGGTGATCTTGCGGGAAATATCACCAAATCTCAAAAGAGGTCTGTGAGAATTCATGACATGAACACGTCGAAGCTTGTACTCGCATGATCAAAATCCTCTCCTGCACAACATTAACTGTTCGGTCTCCTCCAGCTAGTGATGCACAATGGGAGAGGATTTTAGTCCGTACTCACATGCCAACCTCTTGCCAATGGAAATAAAAATAAAAATAAGTTAGAAAATTTTAGTCTGTAATATTTGATAATTAGCTCCCCAAAAAGAACATTCAATTGGAAAATATGATTACTACTAAGACTACAAATGCAAGAAAAACTCAGTATAAATAAGATTCTGCATCCGGATTTTTATTATTTTCTTCTGCAATTTTCTTTTCACTAGTTCCAACTCTGTAACTGCCATCTACAAGGAGTTGAACATTTTCTTAGTGGCTTTGGAAAATATAAACCTGCCTATATTATGTCAGTCACAAAAATACATAGTGATAAGAAGTTTGCTAGAGCTAACAGCATGGAACACCAACAGCATGGAACACCAAATATTTTTTATTGTTTATTCACTCAACAGAGCTAAAAGTTTTGGTATGTAGGGAATTTAACTGACGATGCTCCAACCGAGTCACTTCTCTGAACTCAAAATTTGGAACTTCAACAATTACCAAATGCGATCACCAATTTGGAACTTCAACAATCACCAAATGCGATAAGCTGATCAACCACATTTGGATCCGCAAGTGTGCTTGTGTCCCCTAGCTCATCTAACTGCCTAGAAGCAATTTTCCTAAGAATCCTCCTCATTATCTTTCCACTTCTCGTCTTCGGAAGACCAGGTGCCCAATGGATTTTATCAGGAGCTGCAAATGCACCAATCTGATATATGACACACACAGATTCAGAATATAACTTAATACTGTTTGTATCAATCAATATGAAGTACTAAATAAAAATATCTCAACAAATAACTCCATTGATTGGACTGCCAAGGAGCAAGACATGAGATTAATTATCTCAGTTGAGGTTTTCTGAAATACCACTTCCCTGTTTTCTTCTTACTGATACCACAATGATTTGACATTGTATTACATATGATGCTTCATATTTCAGCCTCTTAATTCCACACACACACACACATGTTGCACTAAATTTCAGCCACTCAATTTTACCATTTAAAGACGATTTACACAAATCAGGGGTATGTCGAAATATCTCAAAATATGCATTTTCAATAAGAGAAGGGAGTGCTGACATCAAATCTCCACAGATCTAGGAGTTATCATAGAATATTTAAGTTTAATGATTTATTTAGGAACTGACACCAAAACTACTCCTCTTTGGGAGACCAGGTGCCAATGGATTTTGTCAGGAGCTGCAAATACTCCAATCTGAAATATGAGTCACAAAGCTTCAGAATATATAAATCTAGGCAAATAACTCCATTATTTGGATTGTTAAGGAGCAGACATGCACTTAATTATTCTCAGATGGGGTTTCTAAAATATCACTCCCTACTTTCCTCTTATAGAATGGAGTCAAGGACGCGCCCTATAGCAACTCCAACTCAAGTTGATTTGGCATTATGCAACTTGCACTGCATTTTGGCCACTTATTTATACTAAGAAAACTTGATTAACGGATTGGAGATGAGAAGAGTTAAATAGAAGAGCACATCTGGTATAGGGGATGTGGGCTTGCGGACTGGGCACTTGTATGGATAAAGTAATATGGAATGAGTGGGTTGGATTGGATTGGGCTTGGACTTTTTATGAGTTCAATGAAGTTAAATGATTCACAACTCACAAGCCTTCTTAACCTACTTACATGGTTATATATATATGTGTGTGTGTTCACGAACAAACGAGCTGCGAAGGTAGTTGTTTGAGCTCGTCTCATTTATTAATCGAGCTTGAAAATTCTGTTTGGGCTCAGTTTGTTTACTAAACAAATGAACACGAACTGATCCCTTGTCGAGCCGAGCCCGAGCTGTGCGTCGAACACTTGGTTCATTTACAGCCCTAAGTGTAGTTGGCATCATAGTCATACCATTCACTAACACCCATAGAACATAGAGGTGTGAGTCGTGACAAATGAGAACTCAGAGAGAGAGGCCATCAAACAGTTTACCATGCTACTAATGTCAAAATGTGATTTTATAATTGAATATTCAATCTACTTATCAAAAAAAAATAATAATAATAATTGAATATTCAATCTGATTAATATTTTGCATATGACTACAACTTGAGATTGAACGTTTAAAAAACTCTCATTCCACGTCTTATTTGGGAAGTAGACGTGTAATATCGGAGTCACCAGAATTCACAGTACTAGAAGGGAAAATTAAGTTCTTTATTTTCTTGGTTTAGTAACAAGCAATGCATGGATGATCTATTTTCTCATAGTAAGCGGTTTCAAGAAGGGGCAGTGATGGAGATCAATTGTAGAAATCTGTAAAGGTCTATAAAAGGCGCCAAAAGGAGGATTCTAAGTTTCGAGCTGGCATAGGCTAGATAATATGGGTCCACGTGGAGTTTTGAATAATTAGGAGATTTGGTCAACTTTTAGTTACTTTAATTATGCTATTAGATAAGTATTGGTTACCTTAATTATGGGGTAATCCTAGAGTCAACTATTGATTGCCTCAATTATGGGGGCAATTACTTTTATTATGTTATATCAACTTTTGATTACTTTAACTATGGGGTACTCCAAGGGTAATGAGCTACACTCACAGAATGTTATAAATAGGTAGAATGTAATCTTGGTGAGGCAGTCAATGAATGAACAAAAATCTCTTTGAGATTTCTTTGTGAGTGATTCACAAATTCTGAGGGTGTGAGGCCTTCTCTAGGTGTGATACCTAGGCTTTGTTGGAGTGATTCCAATAGGTTTTTGTTTTCTATTGATGTGATGCCAATAGACTTTTTCTTATTTTCAAATCTTCTCTCTTTTGAACCATAATCTGTTTATCTGACCCTCTTGGTGTGATGCCAAGAGGCAGCTCTTATTCTATTCGCCTTGATTTCCTACATTTCTACTATCAAACCTCCAAATTTCATCCCTAGTTGTTAGAACTTTCAGACTCTGAATTCTTTGAGTTCTTAGCTATTTAAGGCTGTTCTCTTTGTCCTACATTAGTTTTTGGTATCAGAGCCTAAGTAGACATTATGTTTACACGATCGGAAAACGAAAGATTGGATAATAATCAAGAGATTGAGTTGCTGTCACATATTCTGGAACAACTTAAAGGGCTGAATGCTCAATGCGATGAGATAGGAGCTCGAATTTTGCGGCCTTTTAACAAATCGGTAGCCCTTGAAGAAGGATCTGCATTTGGTACTAATGATGGCAGAAACCGCGAGCAACAACAGCCTTTAAACTCTCAGCAAAGGTGTAATTTGAAGGCTGATTGACCACTACATCCCATGTTGGAGTTTCCAAGAAATACTTCAGAGGTGAATCATCATGAGCCACATGATGCCGCGGGAGATATTACAAAGAAGTCAAGTGATGGAACCCACAGCAAACGGACTACAACAATGCTTCCAAATGGTGGATCAAATTCATCTCATTATAACATGGCTGATCCTGAAGGAAAGAGTATGGTGACTAGCAAGGATAATGAGAACCTGCTTGACAATGAGACATGCAACACTGATCATCTCGAAGAAGACGAAGAGAATTTTTCCTCCATCTCCGTTGTGAGGCACATCCTTGAAGACCCTAAAGTTGAAGATGAAGATAGGTGGCACACATCTAATTTTCGGATCCAACTTCGTTGTGGAAACCAAGCTCGGAGGCCTATTATTGATGGTGATGGCTGCACAAGTGTTGTCTCCACAACCACAATTAAGCGCCTCAAATTTTCAATCCAACCACGTCTACAACCGTTCAAAGTGGCTTGGGTAGATGGTATTTCTATTCCAGTGATTTATTCAGAGGAGAGGAAGTTTAACACAAATAAAACTTGGCCTTATTCGCAAGGACTTGCTGAACCTAACAGAATAAAGCATGGCAAAGGTTCTTGATGTTGGGAGGAATAAAGCTGCTCCAGAGTTTGCAATCTGTTCGACATACTTTTTTGGTTCAAGAATCAAGAGTAAGTGTATCAGCACTTCCCAATTTGGTTGAGGCCTTGGCAAAGCTTGCAAATAAACCTAGATCTCGTGAGTCTTTATAACAGTTGATTGAGATTGCAAGTAATTTTACTGCTAATGTCGCAGTTCGTGCTGGATTTGCTGCTGGCAAAGGTGACAGGGTCAAGCAATCCAGAGAAAAGAAAGGCTTTGACCATGCTATTACAAGCAGGGTCAACTATATCAATGCCGAGTCTGAGGAAGCAGATCCTACCGGTTTTAATGATCAGATTTCTGCACTATTTGCGGAATGGTACCAGATATCCAATTTTCATGGTACAACTGATGTATTCTGTACTCACTTTATTTCACAATTGCAGCAAAGTGGATGTCAAAATGAGGTTGATGAGTCAGAAGGTAATTTTGCTCGTGTTGCCTGCACCAAGTCAAAGACATGATGCCATATTCGTTGTTGTGGATCGTTTTTCGTAAGTGGAGCACTTCATCTCTTATTCTAAGACTTTCGATGTTGTCCACATTGCCAAACTTCTTTTTCAAGACGTTGTCCGGCTTCATGGGTTGCACAACACCATTGTTTCTGATCAAGATATGAATTTTATGAATTATTTTTGGTGGACATTATGGAAGTTGCTGAATAGAAGGCTGAAAAATTCTTCTTTTCACCCACAAACTGATGGCCAAACCTATGTCATTAATCATAGCTTGGGTGACTTGCTTCATTCTCTTGTTGGTGACCATATCACTAGTTGGGATCAAATTCTTCCTATTGTTGAATTTGGGTACAACAGTTCTGTAAACAGGACCATTGGGCGCAGCCCCTTTGAGATTGGGATAGGCTTTAAACCTAGGAAGCCAATTGACTTGGTACCTTTACCAATTGAGGCACACCCTATGCTGAAACAGATGCTTTAAGTAAGCATATCCAAGATATTCATGCTGAAGTTCAAAGGAAGATTGCAATAAGCAATGAGAGTCACAAAGCACAAGCTAATTTTCAGAGTGGTTATCAGAAGTTCCTTGTTACATGGAGGGACTGCCCAATTTTTTATTGTACTTGGATTGCTGATAGTGAGTTCCAATATCTAGCGTCCAGCCTTTATGAGCAATTTTATCCCTTTAACTCATCGGAGTCGAGTTTTTCCAAGCCGGAGAGAAATGATGGAGATCAATGGCAAAAATCTGTAAAGGTGTATAAAAGGCGCCAAAAGGAGGATTCTAAGATTCAAGCTGGCATAGGCTACAGATAATATGGGTCCACATGGAGTTTTGAATAATTGGGAGATTTGGTCAACTTTTAGTTACTTTAATTATGCTATTAGGTAAGTATTGATTACCTTAATTATGGGGTAATCCTAGAGTCAAGTATTGATTTCCTCAATTATGGGGCGATTACTTTTATTATGTTAGTCAACTTTTGATTACTTTAATTATGGGGTACTCCAAGGGTAATGAGTTGCACTCACAGAATGTTCTAAAAGGGGTAGAATGTAATATTGGTGAGGCAGTCAATGAATGAACAAAAATATCTTTTGAGATTTCTTTGTGAGTGATTCACAAATTTTGAGGGTGTGAAGCCTTCTCTAGGTGTGATACCTAGGCCCTGTTGGAGTGATTTCAATAGGTTTTTGTTTTCTATTGGTGTGATGCCAATAGACTTTTTCTTATTTTCAAATCCTTTCTCTCTCTTGAACCATAATCTGTTTCTCACCCTGTTGGTGTGATGCCAAGAGGCAGCTCTTATTCTATTCTCCTTAATTTCCTACATTTCTACTATCAAACCTCCAAATTTCAGCCGTAGTTGTTAGAACTTTCAGACTCTGAATTGTTTGAGTTCTTAGCTATTTAAGGCAGCTCTCTTGTCCTAGATCAGGCAGCCTCTATGCAAGATGAATTGAGGTTTTAGCACTGCACCCAACAAGAAAACTCGATATATTTGAACAAAATGCATAAAATTGTGATAAAATAAGGTACTATGGAGTCCTGAACGTTCTAAGGATTAAGCAATAAGACTGCTGTAATCTGAAGTACCAGATTTTTCAGGAAAACAAAAAGGGAGTCTAATATGCACAAGGTACTACTAGCAAACCAAATGGAACAAAAATCACAGCAATACATACTTATAAACCAATTCCATCCATAAGGCATCTAGATCATATACATTTGAAAAGATTTTTTGTAAAAAACACTGAATTGATATATACCTGGTTTCTGACAGCAAGTATGAGACTTTTACGGAGTTCTTCACTGTAAGGAACACCTTCCACCAGAGTAACAAACGCATATATGCCCTGTCCTTTAACCTAAACAGACAAAAAAGTACGAAACATGATTGAAACAAAATTGCCAGAAAGTTTTCAGACGCACAAACGCTCATACTTAAGTCATAAAAGTACCTCGTGCTCAACGCCGACTACAGCAGCTTCAGCACACTGGGGATGTGAAACTAGAGCAGATTCCACTTCTGCTGTGCCAATACGATGTCCACTGTGTATATTGAAAAAAAATAAATAAATAACATTAACAAAGTCTGAGGAATATAGGCATGCTTTCTTCCTGCTGACGAAATGGTTAACAATGCACCATTTTATTACCTCACGTTGATAACATCATCAACTCTTCCAGTAAGCCAGTAATATCCATCCTTGTCCCTGAAACAAAATTGACACTAGCTCATTAGAAAAAACTTAGTCTTAAAGCATGTGGTGCTTCAGGTAAGCGCAAGCAGCATTTAAAAGCATCAGAAAGATCAGACATTATTAATGAGAAAGATCACAAATTTTCTAGTAATAATTTACCTGCTGCAGCCATCACCACTGAAGTAATAGCCAGGAAATGCCTTGAAGTATGTAGTTTCATATCTTTCATGATCCCCATAAAGCGTACGAAACGCTCCAGGCCACGAGCTTTTCACACACAAATATCCATTGCACTCACCTTCAATTTCAATACCCTTCTCATCTACTAACACGGGCTGCACGCAAATAAAAAGAACAAGCCCATGAGATAGAAGACAATATTAATGGGGGGAAAATACACTAGTATGTGGAGACAATGTGTTAATAATTCAGACTGCAGCAAGTACCTGAACCCCAAAGAAAGGAAAAGTAGCAGAACCAGGCTTCTGTGGCCAGGCACCTGGTAAAGGGGTAATCTGTAAGCAACAATGCAGAACTGTGTTATAATCCATGGTTGTTAATGCGAAAAAGAAACATAAATAAAGAAAACAAAACTACCATGAAGCCACCAGTCTCTGTTTGCCACCAAGTGTCAGATATGGGACACCTTGAATCTCCAACAACATTGAAGAACCACCTGTTCAGAGACACACGCACAAGCACACACCAAAAAAAAATGTTTATTTTCTTTTTGACATTAAAAAATATAGTTGCATCACACTTCTTAAATTGAGGTAGGAACCTCCATGCACTTGGATTAATAGGCTCGCCTACGCTTCCAAGGACTCGTAAGGATTTGCGTGAATAGCGGGTGACATACTGCAAAATCAACAACACTCAAAATTAGTATATTACTTATGATATATACCACAAAAAAAGCTCCTACACTGTGGTGCTCTCTCCTTTCTTCACTCTCAAACATACCCAAAACTATTATGCTTGCATGAAATCGATAAATCTATATATTATGATTTTCTAATTGGACGAAATGTGATGAAGAATACGAAAATGCAGCTTGGGCTAGAAAACTGTGCACGGATAATTAACTTCAATGGTAGATTATGGAGATGCAAGAACAGAGTCTCGCTGAGACGGTTTGGTTACATTCAGGAAGGACCTCTTTCCATTGAATGCTGCAAGTAAAAAGGACAAAACAAAGGGCATGCATGGAGGTAGTGAGAAGTGAAATAGTGGAGCTAGAGAAGCTATGAGCCTGTAGAAAAGTAAACATTGGAGTAACCAACATTAAAGAGAACCTGTAGGAACAAATCTTAATCAACAACACCACTTCACATTTTTTTCACCAACATATGTAAGGTTAAAGAAATTTCTTACCTTGTCTCCATCACGCATGAGAGACCGCACCAGCGTGGGGGCAGTATAGAATATTGTCACCTTGTATTTGTCAACAATGTCCCAACATCGTCCTGGATCTGGATAGTTTGGTGCCTGCAGAAAATATACAGACATGTCATTGAAGGGCATAGTCACATCGATGTCCCTTTTTACCAAAAAAAAAAGAAGAATAATTAATGAAGGCCACTGATCCAAATCGAATGACGCCAGCTACATAAATTCTCTTCGTCCACTCTTCTGCATTGCGAGTAGTGTTTCATATTACAATTAATTTCTTAAGGTCTTTTATTTATTTATTTGTGGTAAATAAGGTCTTTTATTGTTACTTCATCCCATTTTAGTTTTGGTTTGCCTTTTTGTCTCTTAGCTTGTTCTTTTAAATGGTATTATTACTATTATTTTTTTCCTGAATGACAAGTATTATTTTTGTTCGGGATATTAACTCCCTCCAACCATCTCTTGACCAGTTGTTGTTGAGAATTAAATCCCTCTTTCATTACACATAGTGGAAACATCATCATCACATAAGCATATATGGAGTTAATAATCATCCACATACAGGCACAACACAATATTTAACATGGATAACCCAAATTGGGACTACGTCCATGGATGGAGAGATTTCACTATTATGTATCAAGCAAGAGAATATACAACCATAAATGTCAAAACCCCACACTCTCTTTCACTCATTCATTCATTCACCCTCCCCTCTCCTCACAACACTCACCCTTCCAGCCCCTACATCTTTCCCCTCTCTCTCTTCCCCTCTCAACCCCATCTCTATTTATAGAGTCTCAGAACCCAATTCCTTGTTGGACAAGAATTCCCGCAACTTGCCTAACAAAGAGTTACCAAAACAATTTTCAACTCTAAAATAACAGCCTAATGAGATACAACTTCCTCCACAAATTTCAGCCTTGCACCACAAGTCTTCAACCTTCCAAAACAAAAAAAAAGGAACTATCTCCCGCGCATATCAAGCCCGTTGGACCGGTCCATAATATTTGGACCAATCCAATTCCACCAGCACCTCAATCTTTAGTCTACAACAACGTCAGACTGGTCTGCAGAAGTTGGACGGGTCTAATTCTTTCAGAACCATGTTCACACATAGATTTTGAGCCACAAACCCAACAATCTCCACTTTTGCTGAAATTCCGTCTTCAAGAACTCCTCCATTGCTCCACCTCGACTAAAGATCTCTCCACCTCGAACCACAATCCTTCCTCCTTCCTCCCTTCCTTCCATCAACAACTCCTCACCATTGGTGCATAATTGCTCACGCATGGCAATTCACCAATAATACACTCATCCCCCATTGATGCATGATTACTCCCTCATGGTAGCCCATAAATAATACTTCCCCTCATCCACAACAGTTGCTTTTATAGCTCAAGCAACAAACCTCTCTACACACTCTTCACACCATCATCATACATTCGTGCCATCATCCTCCATAGCACCTCACAATCAACCTCTGCTCTGACAAACTTCACACAACCAATCTTTGACTTTAATTTTCAGGACCAACCACAGGCTCTGACCCACCATAGGCTCTCGTACCAGTTGTTCGGGATATTAACTCCCTCCAACCATCTTTTGACCAGTTGTTGAGAATTAAATCTCTCTTTCATCACACACGGAAGCATCATCATCACACAAGCATATATTGATGTAGTACAAAAATGAAAGGTGCGTGAACAATGTTCTTTTCCGAAGTGCTTTCTAGTTTCCTTTTTGATGTTGTTTTTAATTACCTTATAGCTAAGAGTATGTTTTAGGAACTTTTCAATGTTTTTCCTTAATAGTTTTGGGTCAGTTTTAGAAAGTCTTCATTGTCTGTTTTAGAAAGTTCCCATTGTCTTAATTTCCATAATAGTTTAGGATTTGCTTAGGCCTATAAATACAAGCTATTGTAATAGTTTAGGATCAATTATTACTTTTATCAATATCAGAAAATTGAGAGTTTCTCTCAACCTCTTCTTGTGGATTCGAGTGTTTAAAGAGTACATTGCTATTCTTACTTATTTTAATTGCTTTCATTGATCCGCTGCATCAAGATGGTATTAGAGTCATTCTCCATGGACGGTGATCAAGGAGAACGTGTGGTGACTATGGGAGAATTCCAACAACAGCAGTTGTTGTGTGAATCAGCCATGAAAGGGCTGGAAATGAACGTGGCCATCTTCAACGTGCTAATAATCAATGCCAGTTTCAGCATGACGTGTGGTCTGATTCAAGCAATGACTAGATTAAAGGTATTGTTTTAGCACATGGAGATCACGGGGTTTGATGCTGGCAGAATTTCAAATTTCTGCAAGTGGAATTTGTGTTTTTCAGAAACTCTCCATATTTTGAAAGTTTCCTTATTAAGAGTAGTTTTCTGATTTTCATCAGCTTTCCTTTTTGACTAGTTTTCTGATTTTCAGCAGCTTTCCTGTTTTGATTTTATTTTATATTTGGTAGTTAGCTAATATAAGGCAAGGATTGGAATCCCATTGACTGACAACATATATTAGCATACTTGATGCTGGAAGCACTGAAATTGCATTTTGTGCTTTAGATTTGTGAATCTATAAAATACTTTCAAACTTCCATATTCTTACTTTCAAATTTCCATATTCTTTTTTTTATTGACCGGAAACTTTTATATTATATATAAAGAAACATGGTATATCTTTTTCTTTGATCAAAGAGTTCCATATAAATTTCTACTTTTTGTTGCTTACATTACAGTCAATATAATTAAATTATATTATTCAGTCAGTTAATCTTCATAAATTATATGATACTAAAAAATGGCTATAGGGTGCTGATGCTAAGTTCACATCAATCATACCACATTATACTATATATACTATACCAATGTCTATTTGTAGTTTGATTCCTAATTATGACAAGTGGGGGTAATCACTGAACCATATGCACCCTAAATAAAAATCAATATGATAATATAATTCCTGTAATAAATGCAATTATCCAACAGACTAAGCAAATTAATGAGTTCTCGATTAATTACCCCTTCATAAACTACAACTGTTGCTCCATTAAGTAGAGGTCCATAAGTAACATAGCTATGTCCAGTGATCCAACCACAGTCAGCTGTACACCTAAAACAAAGAAAAGAAAATGTCAGCTTGCATCAATATTAATAATTGATGATCTTATCCCCAATAAGGAAGCTCCATAAACATTAATGATGACTAAACTTTTCCAGCATACCAGTATATATCTGATGGCTTGTTGTCAAATGCATACTTGAATGTTGTTGCAGTGTATATCATGTATCCCCCAGTTGTATGCAAAACACCCTTTTTATTGATGAAAAGGTTACATTAGAACACATGTAAAATAATATGAAGAAGAGAACGTTAACTAATTCAGAGACCTAGATACCTTTGGCTTTCCAGTGCTCCCACTGGTATAGAGCAGAAAGAGTGGATCTTCTGCATCAACCCACTCCACAGCACATGTAGTTGGATATTTAGGAACAACATCCTGGAAGATTGACATGACAAACAAGTAAAAGTTGAGTGAACTCATTTACTAGGAAAGGAGATACAAATCATGTTGGGAGAGAGCCACATCATGCAACTAAAGTTAATGGTATCAATCATGCACACTAAGAGATTATTCAGTTTGAGAGGGGAATAAAAGTTCAAGGAGTGGGTGCTGAAACTAATAGCATAAGATTGCTGCCACACGAGAATAATGAAAGATCCAAAGGGAGAAATACTAGGGTAAACTAATATATGTGAAAGTCAATGATCTCTGTCAGATGTCGCCAAAAAAAAAAAAAAAATGATGTCAAAAAACCTGAAAAAGAAAAGGGCCATTATTCTACAGTGGACTTTAAAAGTTTATACTGCGTTGAAACAAAAATTATGGCAAACAAATGTAATGAGAAAAGTTTTCAAGATACAAATGCACAGAAAGAAGTCCAAAAATTCATAAGCTAAATTCCAAGCATGCAATGTCTTTTAGTCAGGTACAATGGATGAGGAGTAGACCACACTAACTAAAAAAAATAAGGCAGAGTTTAGTGAATGATAAAAAAATAAAGAGAAGTGGAAGAGGTACTTCAAGAAGTTCCTGGTCATATTAGGAAAAAAGGTATTATTCTGAAATTAGGCTATGTCATTATATTAGGGAAAACAGATTCCTGTGAAATTATGCTATCTTAGGTGTAGGGTATGCACGAAAAATAGAAAGATGAAGAGAAGAAAGGGTGTGAAACAAAATGTTATCCATTCAAGGATTAAAAGCATATAGAAAAGATGCGAAATACAAGTTAATAAAGTTGTTTGATAAGAAATTGACATCTAAGGAAATGGCATGTTAGGAGCAAAAGGCAATATAATGCCCATACAAAAGAATGAAAGAACAATCCAGCCTTCGCCATCCGACACAATTTGTTATAAATAAAACTTTGTGAGTAAATAATTCACTAAAGACTAAACAAAATAAGAATATAGGAAAATTTTGTTAAATTAGAGGTCTAAATTTCAAGGAAAAGACTAAAACTCATTGCAGATGCGACGAACAATGTACCGCGTAGGTTTTCTTGAAAAAGAGTGAGAAAAAGTTGAAGCTAAAATGGGACCTCCAAATAATCCTTATCGATTTTGAGCAAGCATAAGCTAATATGCCTATTAATACAAATGATGGCTCAACTATAAAATAAATAAATTAAATAAAACCTAGGAACATATCCAATAGTATATACTGCTTGATGACGCATCATTGAATGGATAAACCTGAATAGGGGTAAATGCTGCTAGAATCAAAAGAGACGTCTTAGAACAAAAACGTTCTTAGAAAAGTAGCGCTCAAAATGAATTTACAGAATGGTTAGATAGTAAAAAATTGATGACCAAGAGATACCATAGAGGATAATTTTTACAATCAAGGTGTAGAATTAAGACACTGTAGCCCATAACGCTAAATAAAGTGGAGCAACACCTACTAAAAGAACAGAAAAAGTGGAGTAAAAATTCTGAAATGATGTGCAACTGGCATGTGCCTATCAGATCAACTGGAAAATTTACAAGTAAACAAGAAAAATACCCATGGATTATAGCACAATTTCTGGTCTGTTAAAAAATAATGCACAAACAAGCATGGCCAAAATATGGATTTTCAGTTTGTTGAACAGCAAGAAAGGTTAAAATTGGTAATTTGTAGATTTTGGAAGAGGTTCTAGGCAGCACCAATTAGGGGGCCCGTTAAGTAGGTTTGGACATGTCCAGATCATTGGTTGTACTAGTGAAATATCAACATGGAGCAGGTTGAAGAACAACTAGATAAAAGGACAACTGAGAAGGACCTATACTCCACGAGATGAAAAAATGATGCATGAAGCCAATTCTAATAGTCAGGACAAAGGATTTGTTTAGTGGCATTTATCCTACAAGGCATTTGTAAATCACAATACCATATAAATTATTGCCAGAGTATGGAATTCTATCCATTTATGGAAACTCTACCACAATTCCCTTATGTGAGGGCCAGCCTTGGCGTAAGTGACTAGGGATGGCAATTTCTTCCAACCCGCTGGGTTTTCGCCCCGCTCCGCTCCTAATGGGGCGGATTTGGTAGCTCCATAAATGGGTTTGGGACGGATATGGTAAAAGAATTGAAAACCCGAAGCGGGTTTGGGGCGGGGGCGGATTTAGTGATGCCCCCACCCCCGCCCCGACCCGATTATATATATATATATAATTTAAGTGTTTATTAATATATTTTGACTAAATATTCGCTAGAATCACTACTTACTAAAATTCTACAATTGTGCACGTGATTCAATCTTCAAAGATTCAAGATCTTAGTATTCTGTCCCAAGTCCAGGAATTAATTCAACAGTTTCAACTTTACCGCAATTAAACGGAGTATGCGAGGCGGAGTTGGTATTTTGTCAACCGGAGTAGGGGCGGGGATGGTATACCAATTATAAACCCGTCTCGGAGTTAGAGCGGAATTGGTATGACGAATTTTTTAATGGGGCGGAGTAGGGTTTAGCCAACTCCATCCCAACTCCGCCCCGTTGCCATCCCTAGGCGTAACAGTAAGAGGTCATGGGTTTGAAAGAGGAAACAGCCTCTTCGCTTACGGAAGTAAGCCTGAGTCATCAAACCCTCCCTAGACCTGAAGTGGCAGGAGCCTCTTGCACTAGACTAGCTTCTTAATTCCATAATGCATCGCATGGCATAGTACACAAATACAAATTAAATCACTAAGTGAATAGCATGGATGTGCAAGTAATAATTTAAAGACAATTTTCTAATTGCCATTTCTTTACTCCGGTGGAATACCCTTACAACACTATTGATAGGGAAAAATAAACCTAACATATCTTGACCTAGCGATAGAGGCAACTAAGTGTTGACCAGCCGCCAAATCTCTTTTACTTTCGAACAATAATATTTTCATTAGATAAGAATGATAATATTTCATTATCAAGGAAAAGATAAGATGATGTGGTTCAACAAGATAAGATAACCTTGGCACGATTTGAGAAAGTCAAAGGGTTAAATCATATCCCCAGCAAATCTAGCAACAAACGGATCTCCTCTGATCTCGCACAAATGGATCTCCTCTGATCTCGCAAATGAACTGAGGGACAGCAGCTATAAGAAGGAGATCCTACCAGTCAATAAAGGTACGACAAAAAACTATTATTAAATCCCTTCCTTTCTTTTAAACCTCCGGTGACTGACTTGATCGTCGGAGAGCTCTTGGCAGGCACCACACCGGTGCCATCAACATTTATCGATTTTCTATTCTCTTCTTTGTAAGAAGACGGTGTCATATCGGACCGTGTGGATTTCACCCTCAACAGTTGGCGCCGTCTGTGGGAAACGACAATTCCCTTAAATCAATTACTCGGTTGGGTAAATGCACTTGCGGTTCGGTATGGTAACTGGAACAGAAACATTGTTGCAAGGATCCAGTCAAATAGAAGGGTCAGGTGAACACCCAGATGTCCCGAATAACCAGGAACGGCTTGCAGCGTTAGAACTACAGGTCTAAACTCTTAATCAGGGTATGGACCAGTTGATCCAACAAAATGCAGAGATCCTGCAACATCTTATCCCAACGGGACCACCACCTCAACAAGAATTGTCCGACCCATATCCTCCCAATCTGAATGATGGGGGACAACACGAGAAGGACCGAGAAAACAATCCTTCTCACAAGTTCGAGGCAGAACAAAGCCAAGTCGGAAACCGACATAGAGAACCTCCTTCCCCGCCCCTGCAGAATTCCCAGTCTCAAATAGGCACAACCTTCTGTGTTAAGGAAAAGACAGAGAAAGTTACCTATTTCAACCTATAGATCGAGGATCTCAAGGCGAAAATGGAAGATGTAATGCAGGCTATGAAAAGGAAAGGTCCTACCGCCATAGATGACCTGGTGCAGAGGACCAACTTGCCATTCAACCCCGCTGTTATGAAATGCTCCCTACCTAACAAGTTCAGGATGCCCCCGTTCGAAAGCTTTAATAGGACCAAAAATGCCCTCGATCACCTGGAGACCTTTCAAGCTCTTATGCATTTACACGCCGTGTCAGACGAAATCATGTGCCGAGCTTTTCCCACTACACTTAAGGGATCAGCAAGAGTTACAAGCTGAAGCCAGGAACCATCAACACCTTCAAAGAATTGAGTAAGCAATTTGTGAACCACTTCATTACAAGTCAGAGGCATAGGAGGCCGGCCACCTACCTGTTTACCGTGAAGCAACAGAAGGGAGAGTCGATCCGGGAATACATCACCCAATTTAACGCAGAGATGTTGCAGGTAAAAGAGGTGGACAACAAGGTGGCTTTGACCGCTTTCATAGGAGGACTCCAAACCTCCAGATTCTTGTTCGCCTTGTCTAAAGAACCTTCCACCAGCATAGCAGACTTGTTGATCAGAGCGCAGAAACACATGAACGCTGAAAACGCCATGAATGCATGGAAGGGAAAGGAAAGAGAGGACAAGAAGAGGTCAGCCCCTCTCATCAGGGATGAAAAGGAAACTAGCTATAAGAAATCATTCTTCAGTCAAAGCGATAGGACATATCGTGAGGAGGACTCAGATAAGTATACCGACTAACAATTGTCTCACCGCTGGAATTAGCCTTATCAAGTCATTCAGAATAAAGACCTGGGGGCATCTCAGTTCATCATTTCACATGTTATTTTATTTTCCAATAAAGTCACCATCACCAATGAGATGGATGGCCCTCAATTTCTACGCAATAAAATATTATGTTTTCAGTTACCTACCTATGTGATAATATTAAGCTCATAATAATCTATTTATCTCATTAAAAGGACCCAGGATGAATGAATCTCGTAATCAATATCCTCGTACTATAAGGGATAGTAAATAAATGTCCTGTACTAAAAGGATCCGGGCTGAATGAATCCCGTAATCAATATCCCAGTACTATAAGGGATAGTAAATAAATGTTCTGTACCAAAAGGACCCGGGCTGAATGAATCCCGTATTCAATATCCCCATACTATAAGGAATAGTAAATAAATGTCATGTAATAAAAGGATCCAGGCTTAATGAATCCCGTAATCAATATCCCCATACTATAACGGATAGTAAATAAATATCCTGTACTAAAGGGACGAGCTGAGTGAAGCTCGTAAAAACTAATTCCCTTATTAAAGGGACGACGAGCTGAGTTAAGCTCGTAAAATTTATTACCTTGCCAAAGCGATGGGCTGATTGAAACCCATAAAATTTACAACTAGTAAATTGGATTTTCAAAAAAAAAATCTAATTTTACATCATTAAGAGTCATTGACCATGGGTTTGAATCCGTGCCCTTCCAAAATAGAACCTTGATTTGGTATCTGTTTAACCATTGGGAATATTACTCAAGGAAAGAGTACCTAAAGGTACCCAAAAAAAAATTACCCAAGAGAACATTACCCAAGGGTAACCAAAAAAAAAAAAAAACTACTTACCCGCGGGAAGAGTGCCCAAGGGAAGAATACCCAAAGGAAGAGTACTCAAGGGTACCAAAAAAAAAAAAAAAAAGTTATTGTTCCAGTGAACAATACCCCGGGGGCACTACTCCCGAGGGAACCGGGGGCAAAAAAAAAAAAGTTACTGTTCCAGTGAACAATACCCGCGGGCACTGTATGATGTGGTTCAACAGGATAAGATAACCTTGGCACGATTTGAGAAAGTCAAAGGGTTAAATCATATCCCCGGCAAATCTAGCAACAAACGGATCTCCTCTGATTTCGCACAAACGGATCTCCTCTGATCTCGCAAATGAACTGAGGGAGAACGGCTACAAGAATGAGATCCTACCAGTCAATAAAGGTACGAAAAAAAACTATTATTAAATCCCTACCTTTCTTTTAGACCTCCGGTGACTGACTTGATCGTCGGAGAGCTCTTGGCAGATACCACACCGGTGTCATCAAGATTCATCGATTTTCTATTCTCTTCTTTGCAGGAAAACGGTGTCGTATCGGACCGCGTAGATTTCACCCTCAACAACTATGGCAAAGTATTGATGCACAAAATTAAGGGATTTCTGCTAAAAGGCCCTCTTGCCAAAAGGCCGTCAATAAAACAAAAGACACTAAATTGACTTTAATCTCCAAACTGCAATTACCTTCCATCTTGGACGTGGTTTAGGAATGAACTTTTGGTTTTGGTAAGAGAAGAATCTCATTTCTTTAAGCATTAATATAATAGAATTAACAGCATATAGTAGAGGCAGTGATGTCTACAAACCTGCCACCAGATATCTCTTCCCTCCTGCCATTTAGCAGCTTCCCTCTTCATGGCTGATTGATTTTCATAGGTCAAGCATACATCTGCTAGGAAAAGAAAGTGAAATCCTTTGAATCTTGAAAAAGCAAGTAAATGAACTAACCAAAATTACCCGACATAGAGGCAATCAAGAAAGCCGCATAACTAATATATAATCTGCAGAGAAATGGGCTGATCCAAACGGAAACTAAAAAAAAGTCTGTATTTTGTAGTAAAGTATCATGCTATATTTTATAACGTTACATCTTCCTGAACCATATGCTGTAGATGTTGGTTAGTCACGTAGTTCAAATATTGTAAACATTGTGTTAAACTTCCAATTCATTCATTAGCATTTATTACGTTAGACCTACACCAAATATTTTGATCTAAGCCCTGACATGCTATCTAAAAGTTGCTAGAATCAACCACATTCTCTTTTTATTTCTTATTAGCTCCAATTAATTGAATTTACAAATGTCATTTTGCAGGTGTTCATATTGACTTCTAAGTGCATCTCATTTTCTCTCACGACTTTAACTTTTCCAAAACTTATTTTCTAAAAACAAAAATGATTCTTTCCATTTTGTAGAATCCAAAGATTCTCAATTTTTTCCCACATTGCGATCATAAAAACCCACAAATCCTATCCCGGAAACTGTACCGGTAATCCTGATTATAAAGAACTGTTTAATTATTACTACAATTGTTAGCATTTCCGTTTTGATTACACATTAGTGTCTGGTAAAGTGTATAGACAAATAACACATAAATCATAGGGGGTATGCCCCCTACCTCACCTGTACTATACTTCTTTTTATTTTAATGCAACTAACCAATTCAGGAGAAGAAAAAAAAACACATAATCCTTCCAAGCATTCAATCAATAAGATGCCAAACTATAATTTGCATCTAAATAGGTCTATAATTTCCCAACATGTCCAGCATTTTAATTTTTTATGCCATTTCCATTGTTTTTATGAAAATTAAGTACTTCTAGCCAAAGCATATGAAATTACAGAACTTATTTGAGCTTGGCAAGGTTTATTTATTGTTGGATGATAAGCCTTGGGCATATCTTAGACCATAATTTGACAGTCTATGCCACGTATATTAACATACAGAGCAACAATTAAACATGAACTAAACACCAATTCCAGAGAAGAAAAGCAATCAGTACTCATATCATGTTTAAAGTAGTTTCCCTGTGTTGAAGAACTAGGTATTTCATACATCATTTAAAAAAATAAAATATATATATATATATATAGGCTCCATAATAAATACATTACGGAGCCTATATTTTTTATCATTATCAAATGAAACATGACTTTCTTAACTAACAAGAATTGCATACCAATCATCTTAAATTATATAAAAGTAAAGTAAGATTGCAACACTCAAGCTACGAGTAAGTGACTTAATTTCCCCACCTACAGAGATGCCTTTTTGGTGTGATTCTACAAGGGCAGCATCAACTATGTCTTTAAGACAGATGACCTTAGACCCTCTCCTAACAGCATTGCAAGTTATTACAACCTTTGGTTTGCAATCCATGATCCTTTGGGCAAGAGAATCTGCAGAGAATCCAGCAAAAACAACCTGAAATAACACACCAGATTGAAATCATTTATGGCTGCATGTTTGACAAACAGATTGGATTACAAGAAAGCAAGGGGAGGACAAGGAATATTGGTGAGCAATACTGAGTGGACGGCACCAATGCGGGCACATGCGAGCATTGAGATTGGCAGTTCCATAAGCATGGGCAAGTAAATGACAACAGCGTCACCCTTTCTAACACCAACATCTTTCAAGTAATTTGCAAGCTGTTGGCAAGATAAATCAAACAAAAATTCATTTATTATAATTGTTATCAAATAAATGAGCTGTGTGTGTTTTGTGCATTGGGGTGAGGCAAAAGCTAACCTGGCAAACTCTCTCCAACAGCTGGCTGTATGTTAAACTGCCATCAAGACCGGGCTCATTTCCTTCCCAATATATAGCAATTTTGTCACCATTTCCAGATTCAATGTTTCTGTCCAAGCAGTTGTAGCAAATGCTGGTGATACCACCCTTGAACCACTGCTCAGAAAAAGAAAGTTGGAATGCACATTCCATAAGTTGGAAAAACTTGTCTAAAATTCATTTAATCAAAGAATCACAACAATACAAACAAAACAAAGCTACCACTTAATCAAATATTTATCTCACAGTCTCTCAATCTCGTCAAGTTCACCTTATCACTGAAGGGATCATACCAATCTGCTAGGTGCAGGGTCATATTGGGCCACACTGAAAAATGTTCGGGTCAGATTAAGCACATGTAGTAATATACATCACCTTAACCCCAAACCTGACAGATTTAAAACTACATCAACTCATATTTTTGGTTCATTTCAATTATTTAGAAAATATAAATCTTATTACCAAAAAAAAAGAGTTTGGTCCTTCTTCTGGTTAATTTTTGTTACTCAAGATGGAGGAAACTCAGTATTAAAAAAGCCTTGGTTGAGCTTATTTGCGATAAAGAACAGGTGTTCTTGGAAATGTAAAATAAAAGGTTTGCCCTCACATCTGGGACGCTTATACATTTTTGTGATTTCATCATGGTACCCAATCTAACTCTCTCTCTCTCTCTCCTCCCTATTTCTTTCATGATCGGTTATCTGAACAAACTCAAATAGTTTCATCTTCAATTTTCTTCATCTCTCTCGTTCCTCCCTTTCCTTCTTCTTCTTCTCCTCTCTCCTCCTATTTAACTATTCCTCATAGATCTCCTCAGCTATCTTTTACCAAAATTCTTTCATAAAGATGAATATCTAGAGAAATCAATTTCATTCCATTTAGAAATTCTATATCATATTCACAACTAATAATAAGACAGATATGCATATGACATCCTTTATTTTCATTCTAGCAAACTAATAATAAGACAGACATTATAAGGTAAAACAGAGCACATAAAAAGGGTGGTGGGATTGGTAGATGAACGGGAAATAGAAAGATGTAAAAGACCTCGATCTTGACGTTCCCCTTTCTGATATCCAAATTCTCCGAGTAGACCTCTTGGCCCCATTTCTCCTTCCAGTAGAACTCTGACGCAATGTCTGACCAAAATCCAGCCGGGTCCTCAATTGACCTTCTATACATCTCTAAATACTGATGATTTCCAACATCAGCAAGTTGTTGTTGCAAATAATAATATAGCTTAATAAAGGTGAGTAATAATATATCATGGATGTTAGTGTGAAGTGTAATCTGACCTTTTGGGGAGAGGGAATGAGAGCTAGTCGGGAGAATTCGCCACTGGGGAAGACGAGATCATCCTCCTCGGAGGCAAGTGCCTCTCCTAGGACGATGGCGTTCAATCTGGGTATCCTGCCGGCGCCCGAAGGCAGTGTAGCCATGGACTCCACGTGCCGCAGGTGATCCGACGTCGTGAGATTCCTCCTAGAATTAGGACTAGAAGAACATCCTTCAGAATTAGAAGAAGTCTCCATCGTCATCACCACTCCGCCGCCGCTGATGATCCGATGGTGACTAAGATGAATTCGTTTGCCAAATCTGACAGAGGAAGCCGCCGGAGTAGGAAATCTTGAGGCCCGTGAAAGCTTCACGTTGACCCGCCCCGATTGGTTGGAATTGAAATTAAGAAAGATCTGAATCTGAAACGAGGCAGTTTGAAGTCCAATTATACTACTACTATAAAAAATAGACGAAGGACATGAACAAGAAATGGAAAGCGCCATCCTTCCTTGACTATTTTTACATTTTTTTTATTATGGTGGGACGATGCGATGTATATTGAATAAACAAAAGTTTTTATTTTAAGGAGAGATAACGGTCAAGAAAGGTATTTTATGGCTTCCCATTTACCTGTGTAGATAGAGTCAAAAAAGTAGTACTCGTAGGACTGTAGGAGTGAGATAAGGAAGGGTCCGAAGGGAGTTGTTGAAGGAGGAGCTGCTCAAGAGTATGTATGTGTGTGTATATATATATATAAATAATAATAATAACAAAAGTACACTACGTATAAAAATAAAATAAAAAAGCAATTGTAAAAAAAAAAAAAATTGGGAATGAAATGGGCCGAAAAACAGAATACAAATTTATAATCCGTAATTTTCTTGTTAAATGGCCCAGAATTCTATTGATCCAGCATGGGGGTACACGATAATTTGACAATTATATAATTGCTTTTTTATTTTATTTTTATACGTAGTGTACTTTTATTATTATTATTATAAAATAAAAATAAAAAACCTGATAAATCTAGACCTACTTTATAGTAATTGAATGTTGAGCACTTAGGAAATAATATAATATATATTGCTGATTTATGAGTAAGCCCCTTTAGATTTATTTTCAATAATACTTAGGCATGCAAAAGATCCTCCTGGACTACCATAAAAGTGAAAAATATTCCCTTGGACTATTTTGTGTTCCAAATCAATCCCTCATTTACACAAAGCCTTGTAAAAATGACCCTCTTGATGTAATAATCCAATCATTTTCTTTTCTTTCATGATTTTCTTTTTCTGTTTGAATTTTTTTTTCTTTTCTTTTCCGAGTTCAGGTTTTTGTCCCTTTGGGTTGTCGAGTACTCGGAAATAGTTCCTGAAACTTTTTCTTTTTTATTGATAACGTCTTTGAGAGGACCGCATCATTTTCGCATTTTCTTTTTCAGCATTTTCCTTTTTTCATCTTTTTCCCGTTTATCGATTTCCTTCGCGTAACCTCACTTTTTGTGCTAGGATTTGATCCCGACTTTGCATGCATTCATAATATTTAATTTCTATGAAATCCGTAATTTTACTTTTTTAGAAAAATATACTACTTGTTTACTTTTTCGTAAAGAGTATGGATGCATAGTTTCTTCGGAAACATCTTTGCTTTGTGGAGTTTTTGTGTAATTAAATTTTGTAATTATTTTTCGTCTTAGGGACCATTTTGCAATTTAATTTACAAGATATTTTGAAAAAAGACCTTTTTGCAAACTTTATTTTGAAATATCTTGGAAGAGGGAATTTTGTGCAAATTCTTAAAGTGTGTGTGTGAGAGAGGTAGTGTTGACTTCTTGTTTTGTGTGTGTATGAGAGAGAGAAGTGGTGTAAGTGTGTGTGTGTTGGGCCAACAAGCCCTTAGGTAGTGGAGAAATACACATTGATTTTAGCCTCCATTGTTGTAATTCCTAACCTAGCCTTAAACCTTGATTTTAAACCACTTTCCCTTGACATTTGAGTTTAAGCCTTGGAAGACTTTAGCTTTCCCTCATCCTCCTCTACATAACCCTTGATTGAATTCTTGAAATTCCTAAGTTTGCCTTAAATTCTAGAAAAACACTTCTCTAGTGATGCAGGGGGTGTTTACATGTTTATAAGCTTAGTGTTTTATATATTTTTGGGGCTTATATAATTTGTATGCATGTCTTTAGCTAAATTTTAAGATGATATCTAGTTGTATCTTGCATGAAAATTAAGCTAAGATATGATTATATTTAAGGCCATGACTTGATGATCTTTAACATGTGTTAATTTAAAGTCATTTGGAGTTATTTTGTAATCTAGAAAAAATAATTAATTTTTATTTAATGGTTCTAATAATTTAATTAAGTTTTTGACTTGATATATGTGATGACTATGACATGATCTTTGATATATATTAATTTGAAGTTATTTGGATGAGTTTTGAAATTTAGAGAAATTAATTATTTAATTTAATTAATTTTTATTTAATTACTCCATTAATTTAATTAAGTATTTAACTTGATATTAGTAATGATCTTGGCATGATCTTTGACGTATCTTAATTTGAAGTCATTTGGAGTAGTTTTGAAATCTAGGGAAATTAATTATTTAATTTAATTAAATTCTATTTAATTGTCCCCTTGATTTAATCAAGTATTTGATATTGTTTCTATGCTTAAATCATGAATTTGGACTTGTTGCATATTTATGTGATTATGATTTAAAAGCATGTTTAGTGTATATTTATATATTGTATAACATGTTGTAGTAAATTGTTTTATTTACTAACTTTCTAAATTTTAGAGATTTTGTTGTTGGGTTGGTGAAATCTTGTATAATAATAATAAAGTTACTTTTAAGGCTTATTATTAGATTATTATGTCCTTAGTAATTGTAGCTTGTGTGATGACCTTGTGGGCGGGTGTGCCGTGGGCGGGTGCGAGAGACACTGTCAGGCTACCACATTGGCGAGCTAAGGGTGCACAAGTCTCACATCACCTGGGTAAAGGAAAGGTGAAACCCAAGAGCAAAACCGTCTGGGCTCAGGTCCAAAGTGGACAATTTCATATCATGTGGTGGAGTGGGTCATTATAAATGGTATCAGAGCCTAACCCAGCTGGAAGTATACCGACGGGGACGTCGGGTCTCCAAGGGGTTGGATTGTGATGACCTTGTGGGCGGGTGTGACGTGGGCGAGTGCGAGAGACACTGTCAGGCTACCACACTGGCAAGTTACAGGTGCATAAGTCCCACATCGCCTGGGTAGAGGAAAGGTGAAGTGCTTATATGTAAGTGTGTCATCTCCAATTAGTATGAGGCCTTTTGGGGTAAAGTCCAAGAGTAAAACCGTGCGGGCTAAGGCCCAAAGCGGACAATATCATACCATGTGGTGGAGCGAGTCGTTACAAATGGTATCAGAGCTTGACTCAGCCGGAAGTGTGCCGACGAGGACGTCGGGCCTCCAAAGGGGGTGGATTGTGATGACCTTATGGACGGGTGTGCCATGGGCGGGTGCGAGACATTGTCAGGCTACCACACTGGCGAGCTACGAGTGCACAAGTCCCACGTCGTCTGGGTAGAGGAAAGGTGAAGTACTTATATGTAAATGTGTCATCTCCAATTGGTATGAGGCCTTTTGGGGTGAAGTCCAAGAGCAAAACCGTACAGGCTCAAGCCCAAAGCGGACAATATCATACCATGTGGTGGAGTGGGTCGTTACAGCTTGCATGATAGTAACTTGGTTTAATTAATATTTAGAAATTTAAAGCATGCGTAGCTTATGAATATTATGTAGAGGTTATTTGATTTAATAACTTGTTAATTCCTATAAATGTATTTTGTTGTGTACTACTATATTTACCTTGGAAGCTTGTTAGTAAGTTGTAGAATATTTAGTACTTGTAGCTTACTTGATGGTAATTTGATTTGGCTGAATTATAATGTCATTATAGCATGTAACGAATCGCACATTGAAAATTCGACATTGTATACATTTGCATATGTAACGAATCGCACATTGAAGATTCGACATGGTGTATGCCATTGTAAACTTAAATCCTTACGACATGGTTTGTGTGGTGTGACGGCCCTGGTTTTACAACACGGTGCGTCCTATAATGACCTGAAAGATGACCCGAAACGGATCCGAAATGCGGAAGTGAAAACATAAGCAAGGTCTTTGGGGATATACATCATCCCTAAGACACCTAAGCGATCTTCCACGAGGCCACGGAACTCAACGAGAATGAAAACGGAAGCAAAGATTGAAAATAAACCAAGTATGCCCCCAAAGGTAAAATGATCTTTTCACATGGAAACAAAGTCTCTAGAGATGTACATCATCCCTAAGACACAAGCGTTACTTCCCATGAAGCCACGGGACTCAAAGAGATAAAGTGCGGAAGCGACGTTTTAAAAATGGAAAAATGCAACCCTAGGGGTAAAATGGTCTTTTCAAAACAAAAATGGGTGCTACCTTGCACACCATTGGAAAGACAATGAAAAAAAACGTAAAGTTAGACTCAAGAATCACCAGATTCGGAGTCCGGACGAAGGAAATATGGCCATTTAAAAATAGAGCGTTAAGGCTGCCACGGGAGAGCACCATGGGGGCCCTCATAAGCACGCCCTGCGAAGGTGCCAACGAGTATCCTGATGAGCATCTTGACATACCATAGGCCTGCACATATTTTTGAGTTTCAAATGGGGTTTTAAGGGCTTAAACGACATATTTTGGAAAAAAGTTGTGAAGTAATACCTCCCCCCCTCCAAAAAAAAAATCATGTTTTCTACATGACCATGTCAAAAGAAGTGTGATACCCTTGGATTTTCGGATGCGGGTTGGCTAGGCCCACGCCCGATTACCCGAGGATATCAAACCAATTAGCAATAAACGAATACAGAATACAATTAAAAAAACAGGAATAAATAAATTGCTGAAAAGAAACTAGAATGATAAACCAAAACTGAAACCTCAGAATAAATTTTTTATAATTAAAGTATTAATCTGATACATCCAACTTCTCCATTTTTAATACAACTCGGAATCTATCTAGTAGACCCCTAATAAAACCACCACTAAGAAATGAACCACCGGAAAAGAATCCAATGCTAAACTATACAGGAACCGCCTACGTCGTCGGTAGAGTGAATAGTCGTCTCTGCTCAGCACGAACAATGTCTAAGACCTGATACCGTCCGTTACCTGAAAAATAATGGTGGGTCAGGCCCACGAACAAGTTCTATCCTAATTACAATCCAAACAGAGACCCGATACGCAGATACATCCTAGATGTCTCAACCATATCTATATAGTCCGTAAATAGATATATATATATATATATATATATATATATATATATATATATAACCACACTACATGACTCTCACTATGCTATGCTGAGGGTCTTAACCTGAATAGAAGGTAACATGCAAAAATGCACCTGAGTGGGCATGACTACCTAAGCCTAACAGGGTATACCTCAACCAACATAACTAGCTACGCATCTTACTATATATACGCTCCTTAACCGTCGACTATGAAACTCAAGCTCAGATCGCGGTACCATATATATATATATATATATATATATATATATATATAACTACACTACAGGACTCTCACTAGGCTATGCTGAGGGTCTCAACCTGAATAGAAGGCAACATGCAAAAATACACCTGAG